TTCATTCATTGTTTGTCCGTTTATTCGTTATTTACATAATAATAATAATAATAATAATAATAATAATAATAATAATAATAATAATAAACAGAATTATAACTACCACGATGACAATCACATATACCAAACCAAGTACGATCAACTTTGGCACAACGGAATCTAAATGCTGCGTCGAACAACGATCACAATATTACGACTCAATCACTTATTTGTTATTGATATATAGAAATAAAGTTTGTGTGGCAAGTATAGCGCGAAGCAAATTTGTGATGTAAATACTACAATAAATAAATTGGTTAAATTAGTCGGGGCATGTTGCAATAAAACCAGACAAAGTGAATATTTGTATTGCCAAGTATTTCGGGGTTGCATTTTCATTTAAGAAAAAATTATGTTTATTTATAGATGTTGTTGAACAGTCGTTGAAAGGGAAAGAAAGAACTAATTAAAGTTCTGATGAAAATTTCAAGAGATAAATTTTCAAACTTTTATTATCATATAGATTGAATTTTATCCATGAGCCATCTCCTTTTCTAAGGGTCATTTTAATAACAAAATACATTTGGATTTGTTTTAACGTTAACGTCTATATTGATTTGGAATATCTATAGATGCCGATTTTGTTACATAATTCGAATGTCCATATGAGGAGTGCATCATCACTTAGAACCCAGAACCCGAAAAATCTGATATTTAAATCATATAAGCAAATACTTGCATCAGTTTTTTTATTTTTGTATAATTAATAAAACAATGTCACGCTTATATAGTGTAAAAATTTTAGCATGATAGGAATGGGGGTACAATATTATGCAAAATATATTAAGCAGTTTCTTTTCCTTTACAATGAAGGGAGCATTTTAACAGTTTCTTTTTCTTCATCAGAAAAACCCATGTCAGGTGTTGGTGAAGAAGGTGATGTTGGTGATGATTGTGTAATCTACAAATATAGATAAAATTTGAATTCCACAGTCTATTGTTAATATTTTAGTTTATAACTAACTGGTTTCTTTTTATAAACTTTGAAGATCCAACAAAATAATTTACTCATTTTAGATACGGTGATTAATTTCTCGTGATGGCATATTCTTCTCTCTCTCTCTCTCTCTCTCTTTCTCATAGATAGAGATTGCAAGCTATCAGGGTGAACTAGTGCTTGTGTTTCAGAATTATCCTCGTTTGAATCAACATATGAAATATTATCATCAAAGTTTTCATGTTGATGTAATAGAAACAATTAATTCATTCAGATATATTAAAAGCCAAGTATGAACTGAAATTTTATTTAACTAATTATCTGATGAATAGTCCCAAACATCAAAGTCTGGGATAGCTACCAACGATAAATTCCCAGTAATTCTCCTAATCAAGCAGTGACAAGGATAGGAGTTGCTCCCTGCAAAATAAAAAAAACGCATCATATTTTCCAAGTCCTCATAATTGCTTTTGTCTAACTTTTTCACCTCCGTTAAAGATCGTCGAGACCATAAAACATCAAGAACTTTCCGATTAGAAGATGATAAAGATGTCGAATCAACCATTATTTTTCGATGGGAGCGTAAAAATCCAAGGTAAGGTTTGCTTTTCTGTTTAGCTAAAAATGATATAAGAGCTAGAAAATCAAAAGATTAGAAGCTTAAATGTTTTCTATAGGAAGATGGTAAGTTGCAGAGCTTACTGTTTAACCACTGTATGGCTCGTGAGTTCCTTTAGAAACGAACCCCGAAGTGTGCTCCAAACCATCTTTACGCCCAAGGCTCATGTTGGATTTAATGATTGATATTCTATATACAAAAAAAAAAAAATCTTATTTGAAGGAAAAATAGTGTATTCACTCCTTTTGCTTCACCTTTGATCTTCTCTTGAATAGGTATTATTCTTATAAAATTTCTGTGTTAATTCCATCCTCGACTTTCTTGTGCTTCATTGTTAAAAGGATCACAGTGCTTAAGTGATCAATATAAATAAAATGTCTCTACAATGTACTAGTTGAAAAAAATCTTAAACCTATGCCAAAAAGGGGATTAAAATATCCATTTGTTGTTTTATTTATGTTGATATTATTTATGTCATCGTCATTGACATTGTTATTGGTTGTCAGCGTTATTGACGTTACAGTTACGTCACAAAAAAATAAAAGTATAAAAAGAACAACCAAATCTTTTTTTTTTATTTATCTTTTTTAAAAAAATAATTTTCCCAACCAATTTTCATAAAAATAAAAACTTTCATAAAAATAAAAACTTTTCAAAATAAAAATTTTCAAAAAAGTAAAGAAAATTTTTTTTTTGATAATAAAAAATTTTTTATGCGATGGTGTAACTATAATAAAAACAGTACAAAAAACAAACAAACAAACAAACAAAGAAAATAGAAAAAGAGAAACACGGAGAAGATGTCTGGAGTCAAACAGGATCTGATTGAAACCATCTATTATTCCTGGGCACGTTAAAGAAAAAAAGATTAACGGAGAAACAAAGGAGGAGAACACTTATATTTTAGGTAAAGCAAATAACCTTCAGTATATTTTTTTTACGCGATGGTATAAATATTGTAATGAATTAGAATATAATAAACAATAATTATTGGGAACTGACAGTTAATTATTTAGGAACTGGCTATTATCCTTGCTGGAATATTTAACTAGATGTTTTCAATTAGAATTCTGAATATGTCAAAGAAAAATCATTATTGGAAAACGATACTTTTCTTTTATCTAAAAAACAGTTATTTTTTATGCAACAACGGTGTAACTTATAGTGATAAATATAACAAATATTAAAACAATCGATAGTCGAATACAACTATCATTAAAAAAACAAATTTCAATAGTTCATTGAATACAAATTTGGAAGTATCTTGGATATGAGCGCTTCAACTTCGGATATATATGGATTATGAATGAACGTTTATGGTTGCAGTGATTTTGCACATGTTTGTTTAGTTAGGGAGATCTGTAATTATTGTGCAAGCCACATTTAGGTTATTATAAGAAAAAAAAAAAAATTCAATTAAAATTGAGTTTGTGCATTCAATCTTATTATAAATATAGTTTTTTAGGGGATTGATTACAAGTTGGTGTTATCTTTGTGGATATGCAGTAAGTTATGAATATTTATTTTTCTTAATCTAAAATTTTCTTTATTTCAAATTAAAAAGAAAAAAGATGGAAACAAATGTCATGTCGGAAAAGTATGTGTATTTGATGTAATTGAGAAATTAAAATGGGATATAAGTTTAAAAACACACAGTATCAAAGAGGTGATTGAGAAAATTTTAACTCTTTGGAATGAGACTTATAAACTTTGCAATGCCGGAATGGCTAATTTTTTGTTTTTTTTATATGAGCATTGGTCATTTTAATAATATTAAGTAATAAATAATTTACATTTATTTTAATAATTATAATAATACACAAAAGGAAAGGAATAAAAATAAAGAAATGAATACACAACAAGCAAATGAATGTGAAATAAATAATAAATAAATATGACGTGTAGATGTCTTTGAAATATTATGTAACTTCTAAAGTTAGTAATACTATGATCTAGTATATAACAAAGTCAAGAACCTAAAATAAATATAAACACTAGTAGTAACAGTGCTAAGAATAATGGTGACGGTGAAAACAACATTATTTATCTATCAATAACAAACACCGTTAGTCATATTTTTTCCTTTGTAATTGTATTTTTCAGCCCATAATTCTTTCACCCATTTACCATCACCTACAAAAACTTCCTCTTCTTCTTCTCCAATATTTTTAATTTTATTGGGTTCTTCTTGATCATCATCATTACTAATATTTTTTGATTCCTTACTATTACTCATTTGATTTATAAGATATAACCAATTTAAAGTTTGAAATACTGTAAAGTATTCTTCATTGACTGATGTCTTTGCTGCTTGTGACATTCTCTTATAAAGGCCATCATCATTAAATAATTGATATAAATAGTCGGCAACTTGACTAGTGTTACCTACATCAGCTAAAAAACCAGTTTCTCCATGACGAATTTGTAGTGGTATACCACCAGCCTTAAAAGCTACAACAGGTACACCTTTTGCCAAAGCTTCAGTGACTTTAAC